CCGCGAGCACAACAGCTGTCTTCACCCCAGGCAGTATGGTGACCGTTCAAGTCCCCGCAAAGAAGAAAATTACGACCCAGGTGAGCAACTAGGGGAAGCAGGCTGGAAGCGTTTTAACATTGGTTGGGACGCACGTAGAAGCTGACCACAGTAGTGTCCCAGAAGCCTAGACGTACTGTTACAGCACGAAATTCCAGCGGGCCACTTGTGAGGTCATCAACATGGGCTACCCTGTGTACGATGGAGGTAGAAGCGTATACGGCAGCAGGCATGGCTCATCGAAGCATCCGGAGACAGTACAGGATGTAGTACTGCAGTAGCTGACAAATCCAGGCAGTAGTGGAGTCTCGCTAGTGACGTACACTTTCTGCAGAGTGAGTACATTGTACTCGTCCTGAAGCAAGCGCTGTTTAAGTTAGAAGTGCCGCCGCCGGTTCAACGAGTTGGTGTTCGACTGGAGAACACGGGACGGCGGCTTGGCCCTCGACTAGTAATGAGTGAGTGAGCAAACTTTATTTAACCAGTGGATTGAGGTGTGAGCCTAAGCCGCGCCAGGGGCGGTGGAGAGACCCTGTCTCTCAGCCGCCTACCGTGCTCGCTGGATGGCCCATATTTGATCTGTCCGATCTGAGCTGATCAGCGCGGCTGTCCACCACGCCCCAGGCTGTTCTGGTGAGACTGCATTGGCGTCCTGTATCTGTATGCATTCTCATAACATATGCTCTAGGGTTGCGCGTCTCATGCTACATAGCTTACAAGAGTCATATGGGTATAGTTCGGGGTAGATGTGATTTAGGTGCTTCGGGTTGGGAAATGTTCTAGTTCGAAGTCGCCTCCAATCAACCTCCTGAGATCTGTCTAATGTGGAGCTAGGTGGTGGAAATCTGCGCCTCGAATTTTGGTAAAATTGGATAATGTCGCAGAACCTAAACATTCTGTCCCTCTCCCACCACTCCTCTCCTCCTAGTACCTCATGTGAAGCTCCATCGCGAGTGCGGTAAGTGAGACCTCGCACTACGCGGTGAGCTTCCTCGTTGAGGTTGGGAATGAGGGACGCACACGGGGTGTAGGCTGGGAACCATATAATATACCTTTCTTCAAATTCCTCGGATGATATGAGATTTGCCTTGCGGAAGAGTATGTTGGTTGCCCCGGGAGATATTCTTCCTCGTGCATAGTTACGGATTGCTGACAGCGAGTCGCTGATCACATACCTACACTTTGGGGAAATTATGTTCTGTGCAATAGCCACCTCTTCCGCGATTTCTGAATTATCCGAGCGTATGGAGCACGCGTTTACGCATTTGCGGTCGGTGTTTATTACTGCTATAGTAATGATGACTCAAAGTTTTCTGCAAGCCACCGGCCTGGAAGCACATGACTTTCAGCGGGCTGACCGATGGGTGGAGTTCGCCGACTGCCGCAGAGTGAGCTGCAGTGAGGCGATGATGACATCTAGTGGATCATCCCGCTATTTCGGCATGGCCTCGGTGGAAAGTGCCGCAGCAGGTGTAACATGAAATGCATTGGAATACTGATTCCTAAGTGGAATACTGAACTAGGTGGCACCAAACGGGCAACTGGGCTGCTGGCGGGCAGGGGTTGGTACTGGGCGTGGTGCACCGGAAGCGGCCTGACAATACGTTTGCGTGGCTGCTCTAGCAGGTGGGCCCGTCAGCTGTGGATGATTTTTTTCCTATACCATGATGCGCACAGCTAGTCTGGACTAGCACCTTGCGTGCCTCTTGCCATTTACGACCGCTGGGAGTATTTGCTGCGTGGTTATGATCACAGTTTACTCAATGTGCTCTGGCAGCGCAGCTCTCAGTGGAGGGATGACTCTGACCACAACGTAGGCAGCATTTGGCCTACCTGCAGGTGGCTGTTGCGTGACCAAGGCGGCCACACTGCATGCACTACAATGGAAGCAGCCTAGCAGGGTGCACCCGACACCGCAGCTTGAAGAGGCTCACATGCTCTAGTGGGTCAGGGCCAGCGAACCACAGCGTTACCACATTTCCGCTCCATATCACAGACACCACCGGGACGCTTGACTCAATGCACTGCTGTAGCTCGTGGCCTGCAAGGTCACCTTCCACACTACGCAGGTATCCTGCGCTGTACCCTCGGTCAGCAGGGATTCGGGCGGACACGGGCCCGTGACACCAAGCAACTTCTCCAGGTACTCCTGGGAGGACAGGTCAGCTGCCAACATAATTCGGTGACTGTTGACTCGCACCTTGATGACACCACGCCGCGACGATAGCGCAGACGCCAGCATCAAGTGCGATCTTGGAATGAAGGCACCGTTCGGTGCTGATTGCTTGAATAAAACTGTCCCTGCTACGGCTTCAGGAGACGCGGCGAGTCCCCTTGCACGTCGACTGGCCCCGTTGAGCACACCAGAATTAAATTCTCCGGAGCGGCAAGGGTAGCTTGTTGCGCAGAACTTTCTGCTGTTGCTGGCGCTGTGAGGAACCTCCTGTGTGCACTGAGAATGCGACGCGGTTGCAGTGCCTGCGTGCACCGCAGGTCGTTTTGGGAGCTGCGGTGTACCATGTGGCCCACGGCGCTTTGACTTGCCCTTCTTCTTCGCCGTGTTCATGGTCATCGGATGTGGGTTTGCTTCAAGAAAACCACAGCTGGGTGCTGCGGACGCTGTGGCGTCAAAGTAGCTGTGCTCGGCTGAGGCATTCCACCACCATTTGCTGAAATCTCCACTGGATGCGGCAGTGCGTCACAGCTGTCAGAAGCGACCGTACATTGCAAACTCGGTGCCAGTTGCGCATGCTTGCGCGGAGCGTTGCAATTGCTCCCGCATCGTCGCGGCATCGTTTACGGGAGTTCGTGGAGTCCATGAGCTCATCACCTGTGGCCGTAGGCAGCGGGTAATGGCTGGGGTCGAGCGAGCACATTGATGGCACTAGAGATGACTCGGGTGGGGTCACCTGCTGTAAACACCCTGATGATTGTGCCGTCGGACTCACAGGTGGGCGCGGCAACACAGCGACGGCCGGAGCGGCCATAATTCCAGCTGTAGCTTCTGAGGAAGCAGTGCGTCTCGTCTGCCACAAGTCCACAATAGTAGTGGCGTTTGCTTGGAGGGCGTCAGAGATTTGAGCTCCTCATAGCTTCAGGTAGGCCCCAACAACGCAGTGGTAGCACTAGCCGAACGACGATGGCACTGGCGAGGAGCGCGTGTCGCGGGTGGTTCAGAAAGAGCCATAGAAGCGTTCGTGCCCCGCCATGGGAAACATGCGACACGAAAGACTACCGATGGTCGTTGAAAGCACAGTCACAGTCAATGAGTATTACTGGGCTATTCACACTAACAGCAGAAAAACATACATCAAAGCGCAGAAAGCGGGCACCGTTACAAAAGATGCCGCAGCGTCTCTCGCCGACGGAAAAGCTCAGAATAACAGGTCCGTACGCACTGGACGCTCGAAAGAGACTCCGGACGAGAGACGGCAAATCCGAAAAGAACCCCCTTTTATAAAACAATAATAAAAAACTGATGGTTTCGTGCCCTCGAGCGAGTGGCAGCTCGTGAAGAGCACTCGCGATGATGAACGGCGTCTCCTCCGTTGGAGAAGACGAAGTTACATCTTCCTAACAGATGGAGTCACTCTACTTTCAGAGGGTAGATCATTTGAACAGAGCGGTTGACTTCTGCTCCGCCTGGCAACTGAAGGGAACAGGAGCGAACTTTCCCATCGAGTCCGTTATGCCTGTATCTTATGCCTGTATCCATGCGCTCTTGTCATGCGAAGGGTGGCAAGCGGATCTAAACGTGCCCTGCGTTGCTCACGCACAAATGACGCACGAAACGTACTCACAGGTACATATGAATGCGAATAAGCGTCTCAGTGGCTACTTTGCTGTGTCTCAAAAAGGCGCTCTTTTCGCAAACGGGGACTGTTTAGCGAGTGCAGTGACCTTTGTGCGCCTGGTAACCATTTCAAAATTGGCATCCTCAATGCAGTCAAAAGCTATTTCAGTGCTGCTTAATTTTCGCGAAGTTGAATTATAGGCCTGCATTCTATATTAACGGGCAGGAAGTCTGATCTACAGTAGCCTATTCTTGCACAAGGACATTTTTTGACGGACCGTAACTGGACGTGAAACCATATTATGCAACATGTTTTTAATGATTATGAAAGCTAATGTGCAGGAAAGGTATACAAAAAAGGGTAGAAATAAAGAATATCAAAATAGTATTTTTAATCTTCGTCAGAAATTTCACTTTCATGCTCTTTTCTTAAACTTAGCACGATTATATGTTTTAATTGAAAAGCTTTTCCAGTTTTATAAATTGGCATGCCGCAAAACTATTGCAAAATTTTCGGCGCTCTATCATAACCTATTTTTAAATAAAAGCGTGCGAATTTGGCAAGAAAAAGCTTTTTTAAGTCGAATCTGAGAATTTTTAATAAAAATGCACGCTACGCAGATAATCGAAATATAATTCATCGTAAGTGCAAGTATACTCTTACTCAACTATACAAATGTGAGGTACGCAGGTTTAATATATTTTTTGTAATTCATCGCCAAATTAAAAAAAAAACAGAACAGAGCAGGTAAGCTTCGCACTCCACCTCTTCGTCATTATTGATTTAATATGCTGCGAAAAAATTTTTTCCGGTAAAGCAATTGCATATTTCTTCTTTTGACTGATCAGGCAACAATGAATAAAAATTTAAAAGAAACTTAACAGGCTGATCAGCCATGCTTTGTTCGATTTTACGTGGAACCTACCTAGATACGAGGTCATTCCGCGCACCCGGGAGCACGCTCACCGATGTTTGTATGGCATATTAGCACTTATGTCTTGGACACAGCATAAAGGCTGTGGTGGAGCACATCGGCGAGTGTCACATATACACCCTAAACTGATAGTCGCATTGACTTCTTTCTTGTTTCTTGATTAACAGCACTAGGCGTCGACTAGCACGTTATCGCTGTGCCCTCGTCCTGACTTATCGTGGCTGGAGGGAAGAATGATAAAGCCGTGTTCGACGAGCTCTCGCCGGCGACTTATCTCGGCGTCGCACGGCCCTCCACTGTTGCCCAAACAGGCGCAGCCCCCTAGAGCAGTCTTCCCATTGGTCAACTCTCCTGGTAGAGAGTTTGGCCCAGGCCCCTGCCTAAACCGCGGGGAACAGGCGCTTCGCTATAAATATTTTTGCTCTGACCACCTCGTTTTCAATGGTTGCGCCAGTTCGGGACTAGACGTCAGGACGGGTGAGTAGCCTGTCGCATCCTCATTGCGCTTGTCTCACACGAATCTTTCTCAGGCAGTCGTCAGTTCTGGAGGCTATCAATAAGCTTCTTGTAACTCGGTCATTCACGCGTGAAGGCTGTCGTTGGCAGCACTTGTAGCTCTAGTGCTTATTCACCGGAGGTTTTCTTGGAACTTTCCCATTCGATGTTCTCAACAGACAAACTCTCTAGTGAAGACATGAGTTGTGTCGCTAACCGGAGTGTGAGATGTATTGCAAGCTTATTTTGAAGCAGCGTCATCTGAGACACCATGAGTGAAGTCGTTCTTCAGGTGCCGTAGACAAAGGCTTACGGTGACTGAACACTGCCCAGCTCTCAGCTCCTTTCTATAGTCACTGTGTCGAAATCATCTCGGCCTTTCACAGTGCTTCAGTCTCACGCAGTCTCGCACAATGCTTCAGCGATACACTAAACAAGGCATTCGATAATAATAATATGCATATCAACATACTGCGCGTATGAAGCCCAGTTTTCTGAAGTTTAGTTATTAACAGTACACAGCGATGAGTTGTTGAACCGACTAAATAGGCGGTTGTGGCTTTGTTATGTCACCTAATTTCGCTTCTAATACTGAATCGACAATGTTAGTTACATATAGTGTGCAACTCTAGAGGCGCTTATCGGCAGACGCTGCGCTCACACAAATTGCGTGCGTGATGCCATTCAGAATACCGCTCCACATAATTGCAAGTAATGAAATCATAGTTTAGTTCTTCAAAGTGATGGTTTGAAAGCGTTTGAAGACAATTTTTTTTAGACATGGAAACCGCCCCGCAACCGCCCTTGAATAGATGTGCGTAACTTTTGCTTTCGGTTAAATGGGATCGTCTTGCAGAGGAGTGCGTCTTTGTATCTGCACAGCAGAGTTGATAAGATACAAGCATGAAGAAACGCTATTTCAAACAGTAAAGAACTATGCGCACACAATGCTATCTCAGTCTGTAGTCATCTTGTTAAGTGAAAAAAGAAACGAATATCATTATAAAGCTGGCTTTTCGTATGATTATTTTTGTTGTTTCGCATGAACTGGATAATAATAGTGTCATCATGCACCTCGCCTGAACACTTAATCGAGAAAGCATACATCTGCCCGTAATCATAAGCCTAAAAGGCATTTCGGCAGGAGAAATCATTCGGAAACGTCAAGGCTCGGTTAAAATCGCGCTGTACTATTAAGGCCAACGCAAAAAGGGGGCAAAAATGGATCGATGTCGATAGTACATGGCCCTCGTCATGAGGAAGTTACGAACAAGATTGTTCATTTTTGTAAAGTGACATTAATTTCACATAATACAAGTAGTGACTTTAATGCGCAACGTGACAATAATTTACAATATGACAGCAACCCATTAACCGAGAAAGTTGTCTCAAAACTCAAAAACAAATACAGCTATATTCAGGCGCAGCTACCTGTTCTCTTCGGCGCGCCTATCTGTGCACTGGAGTTATTGTGAAGTTTCCATTACAATGTAATTAGTTATATAGAGCCTTTTGTACGCCGCATGTGGCGCAGGCGTGTTGACAATATTCGCTATATCATGAAAGTAGATAATGACGCCTTGGAAAAGCAGTGGTATCGCTGCGATAAGGAAATGTGTTGAAATAGATGGCATTTAAGCCCTGGCACTTCCCAAGTGACGGGCCTATCGGCGATGGAAAAATGTCCTGCAAGCTCTCTTCAGCGATAAGAACTTCAGTTCCCGTCTCTTATCACCTCCTTCAGCATCGCCCAGCCGTAGTTGTCGTCTTTCGTTATCTACTTAGCCTCAATAAGTGCTTGCTCATGAGCTTGACGTACATCCTAGATGAAAACAATAATTGATAAGGATTCATGCGTAGCTAATAAAGTACAGAGATTGTGCGACGCTTATCACATGGAATACGGATACACAGCCCGGCACCGTGGTTGCGCAAGCCACTCTGCATTTTCTTTTATCACATGCCTCTGTTTTAGTTTAATAACTTCCTTGCATTTCCTTGCGACGTGGCGTACCACTTTGTTTTTCATTGCGTCCACAGATCACCTCGACGGAGCACGTGCGTTTGAAACTCGCGTTGCTTCTTTGAACATTTAACAAACGAACTGCCACTGTGGCTTTTTAGTGTACCCTTAACGGGCATGCTTGCTCTTGGCCCCCAGCAAAGCACGGCTGCCATCGGTGGCAATCGAACACGTACCTTCGAGATTGGGAGCACCGAACGTTACCTGATAACCTCCCACGACGGGTCAATACTAAGTTCACTTAATTGGTCACACTGTCTTCTCCTAATAACCCTGCCTTAAAGTGAACCTAAAGGTTATCACATATCTTTTTACATTTTACAAAATGTATTTAAACATAGTTTATATTTTTCACGACTTCTGGTGGCTTTGATTTCGGTGGGAAATTAGCAGATGCATTTCGTAACTAAGACTACATGTATACACAACCATATTTCCTTTTTTAGCACCTCCCGTTTCCACCTATTCATTCATCTCCCTTGTGCTTATTTTGTTACGACCGTGAAGCCTCCCTTCCTTTGCTTCTCCTTCATGCGCAAATTGTTTCTCACTATGTGAATTTGTTCTGCCGCAACTCTATAAACATAATACCTTTTGTTGTTTAGAGGCTACTGAAATGCCAATCAGTTGCCAATTTTTTTTTTCATAAGCCATAGATGTGGTTGGTATTACACATTGTCATTTCACACTAACTGCTGGGTAACGAATATGATGTGGTTATCGTTAAAGAAGCTCTATTTTGTTATTGCGCTTTTATTAACACGGGGACTACAAGAACATTTTCTTTATTAATAGGAAATTTCTTCCTAGCATCGGAAATGCAACAAAAGACCTCATCGCGCTTTTGATACAGCACGCTTGTGACTGTGACTAACCAAGCAAATCACTTCTGAGTTTTACGTTTCGAAAATCTTTCGTGAGTATGAGTCACATCGCAGTGGTAGATTATGCTTGTCGACAAAGACTCCCTCAGTGTTATTTGATTCCTATGTCGTTTATAGCGTCCCCAAACCACCATTTGATTATGAAACCCACCGTGGAGGAGGGCCCCGGAAATTTCGACCACCTGGGGTTTTTTAACACGTGCTCTAATCTAAGCACACGGGCCTACAGCATTTTCGCCTCCATGGAAAATGTATCCGCCGCCGCCGGGATTAGATCCCGTGACTTGCGGGTCAGCAGCCGAGTACCTTAGCCACTAGACAACCGTGGCGAGGTCTTCCTCAGTGTGTACCTGAACCAAAGTACACAGCGTTCTTGTATTTCCTCTTTGCTGAAGTACAGCCACAGTAAATCGATTTCCCGACGTCTTAGATGGCACAGCAGCTGATCTCCCGTCACAGAAATGGCCTGACTAATGCAAGATTTAAGCGAACAATGAAAGCGAAGTGATTATGCAGGGAAACGCGTAAACCGTTTTTGCTAACACGTATCTCATCCGCATCATCCGTTTCTGCTAACATGTAGCTTTGCTCTAACATTACCTTCACGCAAAGTTTTTATCTACAGTACGAGTGTCATGCGTCTATACTTGGATAGCACAATCAAAAATATGCATGCCATTCATTCTCCTAACGATGTGTCATACAGTCAATCACTTCGCGAGACAGATTGAGGCTCATAACAGATATGCTGACAGACTGCTTGCAATACAAAAGTACGTAGCCTCGACTCGTGCAGAGCGCTTCGCATAAAAAGGGAAAGGAGAAAAATAATTTTGCCAAGTGAGGAAACAGCCAGGCCATCGAATAAGCGAGAGGCGCGTCTTGGGCGTAGCGCTGATGTCTTTACTGATGTCGATTGTCGTTGACGTGCAGCGGATATACACGAATAGCACCTTGGCCACGCGCTGACGGTTTCGTGAAATGTTTCAGATGACTGCACACCAAAACTCTTTCTTTTTCGGTCCTGTGTCGAATCAGCACTGTTAAATATTTAGTCATATCGTTGTTAGGACATGTTCAGTCCCAGAAAATTCACATGTCAATCAAATACGAAATATCAGCTTAATGTCCATTTTTTAAGGACTGAAGTATACTGTCATATAAATCAGTGAGGTGAAGTGTTAATAGACATTTCTCGTTTTCTTCGTAAGTTATCTGTTTTTTTTTCTGCTTTCATAATTTATTAAAACCGTTGTGTCAAGTAAATGCTAATTAATTCCAGAAAAATGTAATCGATGTTCACCTATATAACGTAGCAAAGAAGAGGTGACTGATGTCAGAATCGCGACTAACTGCAGTTTCAGGACGTTAAACTTCAACAATTATAGGTGTCAGAATTAACGGCCTCACGTCTATCAATGTACGTGAACATCTTTGGCTATTTTATTCTGGCGTGTCTCTTGGTTGTTCTTGCGTCATCCTTCTTCAACGAAGATTTTTAATTCATATCATTAATTTTGTTCACCGTGGCTTTTGCTACAAGTTAACACCTTACACCAGAATACGTCACACAAAAAATTAACGATTCGAAGCAGCAGTTACGCATGCACGCACAAACTAGTATGAAGACGACATGCTGGATGATAGGGCTCTTGCGGAGAATGGGAACACCCTCCTTCGTATTCCTGATAAAGAGTAGGTTGCAGCTGATTTGCATGTCACACGAAGGCTTCAAATTACGTCACATGGCTTTTCCTTGTCTTTGAGTGTGTTCCCCTCTCCTTCAGTTGATTCGGAGACACTCATGGGTTGACCGCATAAGTTAAAGACACTAGAGGAACAGTGGGAAAGAAACGTGAATTCCCGACCAAAGGAACCAATTTCTCTTGCTGAAAATGGTCGCGTAGCGAATCTCGGTTTTCCAAAGCGACCAAAAGGCTATTACCACTATAGTAATGATAGTTTTGTGGTCAGAGTAATGGTGTACCATTATTGGTACGCCAGCACTATTATACCTTCACAGTAAGGGTATACTATTACTCAGAAGTAATAATAAAGCACATATCCCTCCCTCC